CTCAGGGCCCCGTCTTGAGGGGCCTCGCAAGATTCGGAACTTCGGCGCGCGCGCGGGCTTCGCGACGGGCCCCATTCGGGGGAAGCAGGGCGTCATCGAAGAGTCCATGGGCCAGCCCATTCCCGGCGCGGCGGCTGCGGCCGCGGCCCGCTGGGCCCGTCGCGCTCGAGCCGCTAGCTCGGCCGCCCTCGCCGCGCTCGAGTTCTGCGACGCGCGCCGGCATATGCCGCGGCCAGGGGCGGCGCCGCCTCCCGGGCGCCCACCCGCGGGAATGGCCTCAGAAGGAGCGGGGCCCCGCGGGGGAGGGGCCCTGCGCCCTGGAACAGAAACGCGGCAACCACGCTGGATCCATTGCGCGTTGCCCGGAGGCGGGGTTGCCCGAGCGCCGCCGGAGGCCGCGGCCAGGAGCGCGGCTGCAAGACCCCCTGCTTGGGGGGGGCCCAGCCGCCCCCGGCTTGACATCCTTAAAGGCAGCGCTGCGGAACAGGAGCGCGGCAACCATCGTTGATCCGACGCGCGCGGCCCAGAGGCGGGCGCGCCCCAGCGCCGCTGGAGGCCGCGGCCAGGAACGCGGTTGCAAGACCCCCCTGCCCTGGGGAGGCCCAGCCGTCTCCTGACCTGAAATCCCGATGGGCAACGTTGCGCTGCGGCCCGCGAGCCAAGGCCACGACAGAGGCTTCTCCGGCCGAGGCCCCCCCCATTAGTGGTCATGAATTTGCTCGGGGCCCCCCAAACGGGGTGGTGCCCACGCCGCGTGGTGAGTCGGCGGGGATTCGGGGTCACCGCACGATTTTGGAACTCGGGCCGTTCTCCGAGGACGTCTCGGGCGACTGGGGCCTCCAGGGTCCCAAAACCGTGCGCTGACGGACCGTACGGTGAGGTCTCTTGAGGGATTTCGAGGTCACACGGTCTGTCGCACGGGACTCCATCCATTTGCGCGACGGTGCCGAATAATGGCGAGTGACCGTTTGATTTCGCGATTAGTGGTCGTTCGAGCTTTCCCATGCGTTCGGTTTTTCTTCGAGCATGTTCTTTGGGTGGAGGGCAAGGGGGGGAATTCTGAAGTGCCGTTTCGATTTGTTTTCGATGTTTGAATCTGCGAATCTGCAAAAGGTGAACCACAGGACGGTTTGCTTTTCGAGGTGCAAGTGCCCATATGTATTTCACCCTGAGCCCTCCGCCTTGAAAGATGCTCAGTTTCTGTTGACCACCGATGATCGGTTCGCTATGTCGACGTTTGAGGTTCGGACAGGGTCTTCCCCCGGGCGGCGGGCGGCGCGGGGCTTGGGGGATGGGCTCCCGGCACAAAGGCAACCACGCGCAGATCCATCTGCCCAGTCTGCTCTGTGTATCTCGGCAGCGCTCGCGCGTGCCCGCACCTCCCTCAGCTCCGCCGCGCAGGCGGCTCCGAAAACAGGCACGGGAAAAAATGCTTGCAACAGTAATTGTAGCCACTTTCTGTCGCACGACCTAGGCTGGTTCGTGCATCAGGCGATTTCGAACATGGATCAAGGGGGTCCTGGATTAGCGACGGGTCCCGTTTCCATTGGAAATCGCGGATTTCCGCCGCCGAGCGTGGCGGCACCGGCCGCATTTTGGGGAGGGCACCTCCCCCGATCCATGGATTTGGCGGCCGCGCGCCAAATCCATGGATCGTTGATCCATGTTTGCGCGCCCCCGATAGGTTGGTCCGTATAGTCGTCGACGTGGGCGCAACGCTCATGTGTTTCTCTTCTTGTGTGAGGTGTCGTGGCTTGGGTTTGCTTCAAGGCTCCCAGGGTCTCTCTTGCCCGGAGGAATTCTCCTTCCGGGGCCATACCTCATACCCTGGTGGATTATGTTGTTTTTTGGATTGGACCCAACACCGCGTCATTTTTTCCAGAACGCAGTGGCAGGCAATTGGCGTGAATGTCTGTGCGTGCATTGCCGTTTTCTTTTCTGGGGGCAGGTAGATGGATTCGGGGCTGTTTGCCAGCCCTCGGCCGATATTGGTTGCCAGAACCTGAGGTTTATCGAAAAGGGAGGGTTTCTAAATAACGCAGACGCCACTTTGAACCAGGATCTGGTCAAGATTTGTTTCGCTACTCGTTGACAGGTCTTTGTTCTCAGAATTTCCCTTCCGTGCCTCTTCGGACACCTGCGAGCGGCCACTGCGGTCCGCTCCGAACGGGAAGAGAGGTTGCCGAGAGCCGCCGCGCTCTCTTTACGACAGGTGGGCTGCGTTGGTGGCTTGACCAGCGCTCCTTGTGGTTTCAGATCGCCGTCAATGTCAACAAAAAGGAAACTTACCACAGGAGGTGGAGGAGGGGGAGGAGGAAAAGGAGGAGGAGGAGGAGGGCGAACGGGGAGGGATGAGGGAGGCCGAGCTGGCCCCAAAGATAGCGCGCGAATGCGCTCGGCAAGAGGAAGGGGAAGGAGGAG